TTTATAAAATTCCCTCCAGTGATGCTAGATCCTGTTGGAAAAGGTCTCTAGGTGTCTCATGTACAAAGTACAAATGGTGACCAGTGCCAAATGAATGACATGCCACTGAGAGCAGCTCTGCTGGTGGTCAGCACAGTGGGCCTGCTGAATGCTAAGGATGGGTGGGCATGCTCATACAATGTCAAAACAGAAATACCAATACTGAGCTCACCAGCCAACAGACACACAAAGGCGTGGATACATACATGCACCCGCATGTGCAAAATTCAATGCAGTTTTTCAAGATTATTATTGCACAACAACATAAATAGGCAACAATGACCTGTCAGTAGAAACGCAATTACTACTTGAGCCAGGCTGATTAGTTAGTAAACCAGGATCCCAAAGCTTCTTTACTTACTCTATTTGGTCCTTTTTAATTGTTCCCTTTTTTAATAATACTGCCTGAAAAGATTACCTTTCTTCCTTCCTTCTGCATTATACCAGCAGTTCAGCAAACCTCATCCTTAACTTTCTTGGTCAAAGGCTAATTCTACTAAAAAGCTTGCCTTCAGAATTAACAGCCACGTTTAACCTACTGGAAGCCACATAATTTAGTCTCAAATAGCTGAAAAGGCTGTCAAGGGGGCTCCTTGGACATTTACTCAGCAGGATTGTAGTTACCCTTCCCAGTTGTTGAGCCATATTTTCTGCACCATCTTATCTCTGCCACTTGCTGCCCAAAAGGCTGGTTAGATACGCCCAAGAAACCCCAGTCAAGAATGCAGGTAACAGCTGGGTTGTCACTCAGGGGTGCAGCTTAGACCGAGAATGTGCAAGGCCCTGGGCTCCAGCCATAGCACTAAAAAATAGAAGAATGCTGGTAAGCAGAGTTTCCAAGAGGGGAAGTAAAGATGTCAACTAACAAGTTAGGACCACAGTGGCAAGGGTTACATGCTTAGGGACAAGCCATAATACTATCATCAGGAGCAAGGGAGACACCTGAGCCTGTGACAGCAACTGGCTATGACTCTTAGTTGTGAGCTAAAGGCTCATACCCAAGGGGCAACAGGGAGTCCATACTTCCAGCATGGGACTGGTATCACCAAAGGATAAAGCATAGAGTGTCTTGGTCCACCCACACAGGGGCTGGGTAGGGACTCTTTCTTCTTCAGTGCCACTTGTTAGAAAAGGTGAAGATCTCAGTCCCTGAGGTGACCAAAGACTGATAATCTGTCCAAACACACATGTGCAGCTCTCTCCCCCAGGGGCTCCACAAGTCTAAAGTTTGGCTTGGGGAAAAGTCTCTCTCTCTTTTTTTTTTTTTTTGTATCTGTACATCTATTGGGTCATCAGACTACCAGACATTCCTTCCTGCAAAGATGTAATAGTAAGTGGTGACTTGAAGGAACTGAGCATCTCTGCTCTATCTTCCTGACATCTATGAGGGAAAGAGAAGACAACTGGAGATGTTTTCTAAGTTTCACTTTCTGTCCCTGTAAGTCTACATCTATGAAAGGAAAAACCAACAGCTCTGAGTAATATTCCTCACCTTTTTGGTCAAGGCCCATGGCAGAACAGAACAACCAAAATCCCTCAGGCTTTGGGGTGCAACCCAAATGCTACACTATTCTCTTTATATTTAGAATTGCCCTTCACTTTGTGGATCATTCAAAAATCCCAAGCCTATGCTGAAAATACCTTCAACCTTGGCCATGCTACTTAAGATTTCACACACACACACACACACACACACACACACACACACACCCCACATCCTTTTAGAATTTGACATAAAACAAATGCTGTGTTTTACTTATTTGTTCATTTTTGGACTCCCCTCATGACTCTACTATCAGAACTCCCCTATTAGAAGACCAATTATTAGTTTAAAATTCCTGCCCTTATAATAAGGGCACTGTTTTGGCCACTGCTGTCCTCTGCATTACAACTGTGCCTAGCACAGAATAAATAATTTGTTGAATAAATGAACAAGTCAAGGGTTCCAGGCCTGTCTCACATTCTGCAACAGGATCCTGCATTCTCCATTCACACCACAGACATGGCAAAGGCATCTTACCCTTTCTGACATCATACCACATCCCAGTCACTTCAACTCCAGAAACGTAAAAGACCAACTCTGATTCAAACCATCAACCTCTCCTCACCAGTTCTTATTTAAGTCTAGCTTGAAGTCCTATCTTTTTTTTTTTTTTGGTAGTTTGGGGTTTGAACTCAGGGCCTCATGCTTGCTAGGCAAGTATTCTACCACTTGAGCCACTCCATCAGCCCTTTCTTGTGATGGATATTTTCGAGATAAGGACTGGCTTCCAACTGCAATCCTCCTGATCTCTGCTTCCTAAGTAGCTAGGATTAAGGTCTGAGCCATGAGTGCCTGGCTAAAGTCATCTTAACACTGCTCACACCTGCCCCATCATCTCCACTGTCACTGCAGTTACCTTTGTAACTTCCCACCCTTGGGATTTGACAGGCTACACTCCCTAGAACAGAGAGTGCACTTTCTAAAACTGCAGTTCAGATCACCTAGGCCTTGTGCTTAAGCATATCAATGGCTGTCCCTCGAATCCAAACTCCATGCTATCCACAGCCTTCCTCATCCTGATGAACTAGTACAACTGCCCAACTCACCAAGAAACATGATTTCAAACCTCTGCCTGTGTCATCCACTCTGAACTCACTGTTCTTCCTTGGTTCACCTGGGAAGCCGAGGCTTGATCTCAGGACCCACTCAAGCATGCATCCCTCTCTAACTAAGGCATTCCTGACTCACAAACACACTCTGCCACCACACCGATAACCAGGAGCTCACCGAAGTCAGGAACTGTCACGAGTCCATCTTCACATCCGCAGTGCCAGGCGTGCGGAGTAGGGGCACAATAAAGGATTTTAGAGAGAGAGTGACTGTGCAGAAATAATGAACCACCACCCTTCCTTGTTCAGATTAATTGGGCGGAAGCAGCTTCCTTTCATGCTGCCAGGCTAATTCTAGAATCCCCTGCTCATCCCACTGATGTTCCCTTCTGCAGAGTCTTCTACTGGATACTTTTTAACCCTGTAATCAGGAAAGAGGATGAGAGGTAAAGGCTAACGCGAATATGCAGAGAAAATAGCCATCACAAGCTCAAAAACAGGAGACTAAGTTAAATCTTACATGCTTAAGTCTAACCAAGTGCATAAGAGGTGTCCTACAAACTGCTATGGTCTCCCATTAGCAGCTTTGTACATTGGGACAGTTTCAAAAGGGGTCAGGAAGTTGTATAGACACATTCTATTACTGAAGTCTTGTCCACAAAGGTTTTCAAAAGAAGCTGAAGAAAGCAAAAATCACAGTCTTAGGGGAAACAGTTAAAAGGGAGAATATAAATACACTTAAAAAAATAGCTAAGCTGTCTATCTTCCTCCCTCCATGAAGTACTAAAACTTCTTTCCATTCAGAAATACACAATGTACACAATTTGTTAAAAGCTAATTTACCAAATCTACACTATTTGAAATTAAAAAACACTATTTGAAATTAAAAAAAAAAATCAACAAACCTCTCTACGATTTTGGTGTAGGGCCAGTGTCTTTGAGACCCTTGGTCTATAATTTCAATTTTAAATTACCAATAAATTAACAAAAATGATTAATGCTAAAGGTTCAATGATTTGATGATTTCCAAATATACTTAATAACTATACTTGTTTTTATTTTTGAAATTCGAATAATATACCATATGAAGTACAACTCACACAACTGCCATCATTGTCCTCTGACACAGCACATCTGAGTATTACATAGAACGCAGGGCAGCCCAGCACCACAGCCTAGACTCTAATCCTTGACGACATAACCTGTGCTCCTGGGTCCTAAAGATGCCAAAATGTCAAGGAAAGATTACATCCACACCCCAGTCCACTGACACCTTCAGGCTCAAGAGTAAGTGCCAACTTCCTAACGGGAAAGACATTCATCGCAGCAGAATCTTTCAGGTGAACTGCAAGGTGTCCTTTCCAACCTTGTTAAAGTTCTCTAGGTCAGGGGACCTCTTGGGTGAAAATATTTTGCTACTACATCTATAAATTCTTCAACAACTAACAAAATAAATACAATGAAGAAAAGCCAGGAGAGGCTGAGTGCTGGTGGCTCATGCCTGTAATCCTAACTACTCAGCAGGTAGAGATCAGGAGGATCATGGTTCAGAGCCAACCCAGGCAAACTGTTCATGAGACGCTATCTCAAAAATACCTAACACAAAAAAAGGGCTGGTGGAGTGGCTCAAGGTATAGGCCCCGAGTTCAAGCCCCAGTACCACAAAAATAAATAAATAAATAAAGGCCAAGAGAAGGGGATAAAGTCCCCTTGCCAATAACAAGTAAATAAATGACATGGGGAGCTGAGGAGTTCAGATCACAAGCCAGAGAAAGAAATGCCCAAGAGCATACAGCACTAGTGTGTGACCAACAGCCTACTCGAGCTCAGCTACTGCCATCTCTGGTCTATACTCTCACTTCTCCCATGTCTGATTAAAGCATTGCATCTCCTTTACAGGATTCCCTCTCCTGGGGCTGTTAGCTGTGTAATTATGCAGCATGTTGACACCACAAATACAATACAGCTTTACAAATGGAGGCTTTTAAAAATTGAGGCTATTTTCTCTACATACTTCTAAAATAAATGTTCCCCTCAATCTGGAAGACTTTTGGTAAAACTTAAGAACTGCTTAAAAGAGCAGACAGGGGGTAAGAAATGTAGCAGATTGCTTAGAATCCTTGTTTTTGGTCCCACTTTATTTATATACCATTTTCCCAACCTCAAAAATGTGTCCTATATAAAAAAAATTAATAATAAGAAGCAGCCCAGTAAATCTATCAAGACCAACAGCAAGGAGCTTTAGACTAGGGACAAGGACACAAATCTGAGAGGATGGGGGAGGGAGACACAAAAACTCCCTAGGAGCCTTTCTCACTTTCAAAACATCTGGTGGCTTGTGTAGTTCAATGTTCTAAAACGCTGGGGTTTATGTGGTAAACATTGATAATAAACCTTCATTAAACAAATGAAAGCTGAAAATACAAACATTTTTTAAAAAGAGACCTAGGCAAAGGCAGTGTGCATTGAGAGGTATATAAGTCCATCTAATTTCCCAACCCAACTCACTCTTCCCGTAAGCAAAGGGAGGCCTGGAGAGGACAAAGATTCAGTTTTCACAGTTTTGGCAAAAGGCATAGAGAAATGTTTGCAAGGGACTTACGGGTGAGCAGATGAAACGCAAAGGCAATTTCCTGAAGAGCTAAAAACCTGTGACTGCTGAAGAGCTCTGATGCCCATTTATTCACGGGACATGCCCGCAGAATTTCAGAAACATCAATGGCCAACTGGTAGTATGTAAATTTTCAAATCCTCCTTCCTTCTAGAGGTCTCACCTAGGTTGGCTCTGTCCCAGCATCTCTGTCTGCAGCGTGACTAAGTCTGCAATGTTTGACTCACTGGAGAAAAAGGAACACTGATCCCGAGACAGCTGAGCTGCCTCAGACGCTAATGCTAAAAACAATGTCATTATTTAATAGCAACAGGATGGGGAGGGAGATGAGGAGGCGAGGAAACACACATACCTTTCAACTGGTCAGCAACCACGCTCTGGCCAAGACGTTCAATAACTTTCCCATCTTCCATTTCGTACCGGTCATCTAAGTACTTTGCAGTAGCCTCAGATATGTGAACTTTGCCGGCCACGCCCAGCTGCTCCATGAGATTGGCCAAGTTCACATCATTGGACCACACGTCAAATTTAAATCTCCTCATGCCCAAGATGCCACATAAGACGGTCCCCGTGTGAACCCCAACGCGCATGTTCACCATCTCTTTCTTCTCCTGACAGAACTGCTCAATGGCTTTTATCATGCCTAAGCCCATTTCAATACAGCAGTAGGCATGGTCTGCTCGGGGCTCAGGACACCCTGCCACACAGTAGTAGCAGTCTCCCAGGGTGCTGATTTTCTCACACTTGGTCTCCTCACACAGCCGATCAAAGCGGCCAAACAGATCATTGAGGAGACCCACCAGCGCGTGAGCAGACTTGTTGGCACTCATCTTGGTGAAGCCTACAATATCTGCAAATAAAATACTGACTTCTTCGATCTGCTGCATCTTAAAAGGGCGAAATGCTATAGGAGCTTTCTGGATGGAGGACTTTTTCTTCCTGTTCTTGGGACTGGAGGTGGCATGCCTCTTGACAGAATTCTCACTCTCCTCATCGCCCTGTTTCATTAAGTCGTCAGCTATGATTCTTGGCATGACAGAATGAATCATCCTCTCTTTGAGGGCTTTTTCTACTTCCAGATCTTTTCCGTGCATGATAGACTGTCCCACCTTGAGGAAGGTGCTCCTGGACCTCACCTGAGACATGACGAATAGGTGGACCCCGATGGCATGAATGCAGACATGGAGCAGGGCCCTGCTCAGCAGCTCCCAGTGCAAGGCGCCAGCTCCAGACGAAGGAAAGCAGTTTTCATCTCGAAAATGATAGCCAAAGGTCTCAAAAAGGACAGAATAGGCCACCCCCAAAAACAAGCTCAAGTACAAAGGCAAGTGCATGACAGTGTAGAGCAAAAAGAGCACTTCGATGCACATGGAAAAGCTCCCCACTTGAGATAAGCAAGTGACTGTGGGCCTGGCTGCCAGAGTATGATTGGAGCTGTCAACGCGTCCTGAGAGAGGCGTCAAAACCTGAAACTGCACAGCCAGGGTCAAGGAGAACACTAGCAGGGTGAGAGCCAGCGAGGTCCACGCGTAATGCCGGGCATACAGCTTGGTAAAGGTAAACAGAAAAAAGCCCACACACACCACGAGGAAGCACAGCGCGGGCACCACCATGACAATCAGTTTAGATCTCATGTGGACAGCAAAATAGATGCTCCAGAGAAGGCAGGCGAAGCCCACGTAGAAGAGCGCGTACCGGAAGCGGCGCTGGGTCTGCGGGAAGCAGCGCTCCAGGCAGGCCTCCTCCAGGTTCACGGAGTCGAACTTGGGGTCCCACCATCGGCTGGAGGCCCTCTCGAACAGCTGGGGCAGCTTCTTTTGCCTGCGCAGGCGGCCGCCGCCGCCCATCCGCCGGGGAAGCCCCCCGGAGTCTCCGGAGCTGCTACAGCTGGACGAGATGCTGTACTTGCAGTGCTTGGGGTGGGTGTTGGAGGACAGCTGCTTGGGGTTGATCTTGACCCTCACGCTGTTGCTGTCTCCACTGGAGTCGCAGCTCACCTCGGTGCTGTGGTGATGCAGCAGCTGCTGGTGGGGCGGGGAAGCCATGTTGCCGAGCTCTCGGAACCTTTCCCGGCCGAGTCAGGAGTACCTGAGGGCAAAACAACCACAGTTAGAACGGCCTTGCTACACGCACGCCCCGAGAGCCACGCGATCTGTGCGTGTCCCGAGTGCGGGCTCTGGCGAGCGACTTGGGAAGACACCATATGTTTACAAAAACTGCCGATAAAGGCTAATTTGAAGCCCTCCGCTGCCCCCACTTCCGAGGCGAGCGAGAACTGCTTGGGACATACCTGATGCTCCCGGGGGGTCCCGGCGTGCGGCCACTCTGGGTCTGAGACGCGGCGCGCTCCCCTCCGGCACCGTCGCCTGCTGGTGGCCTCCGCGCCGTGCGCCTCCAACTGCGGCTCGGGAGGGAAGTTCAGACCTTGAGCGCTCCCAGCGCTGCGAGCCGCGTTCGCAAAAACAACTCCGCCGGCGGCGGGCAGCGCTTCATCCTGCAGCAGTGGCGCCCGGTGCGTCAAAGGCGTGCGGGCCGAACCTGCGGCACTGGCCGCGTCCCCTCTCGGTGCGGCCGAGCACCCGCGGGCGACCCCGGCCCCCGCCCCTGGTGGCCGCCCCCACGCTCTAGTCGGCCGTGCCCAAGGCGGGGGTTTGCGCCCAAGCCCGCGAGTTTGCGGAGCCCGCGGGCGGGCTGCCGGGCGGCCGCCCGAGTCTAAGCGGCCGGTCTAGCGGGGCCTGCTGTCCGAGCAGAACACGCCGCGCCCCCGCCCGGGGACCAACGACGCCCCGGGCCGAGCCGCGGGGCCGAACGCAGGGCGCCGCGAGGGCCCCTCCGCGGGCGGCGGTGAGGGCTGCCGCAGAGCCCGGCTCCCGCGACACCGGACCGGACTCACGCCTGCCCGCCCGCCGTGCCCACGCCCCGGGGGTCTTGCCCGAGCTAGAGATGCCGCTGCGGCCGCGCCCGCCGCCGGCCCTCCCACGGCCGCTGCCTCATGTCGGAAGAGCCGCCACCGCCACCATCTCCGGCCCCCTCCCCCTCCCGCTGTCACTGACAGACGCGCGCCCGCGCCGCCCCTCGCCCAGCCGCAGCGCGCACGCGCAGCCTGAGCACGCCGCCGCCGCCGGGTGCTGGGCACGCGCACCAGCCGCGCACCGCCCCTCCTTGGAGCGCGCGCTTGGCTCGGGGCTGCGGCGGGCGGGCGCGCGCTCGGCTCCGCCCTCTGCCTGGGGCAGCTCTGCGCCCAGGCTGCCTGCTGTGGATACCGCGGCCCGGCCTCCCGCCGTGGCCCCACGCGCCGGGAGAATCACCTGCCCCGTCACCGGGCTCCCAGGTCCCCAGGAAAGGCGCAGCTAAACGCAAGGTATAGGAGGGAAATCATCTTATGTATACATCGAAGTGTTCAACCACTGGATACAAAAGAGGGCATATACCACGCACTGCGATGCGTGCATGACCCCAGTGGCACTAGGACCTCCCTGAAACTGCTCTTGGGCGGCCATCGCAGTCCAAGCTTCGCCTGTGGTGGCCTCTAAAGACACCTCCTCCTGCCCAAAGAAAGTTTGCCGTCCCCTCTCTAGGTGCCTCTCCCCTCCTCCTGAACAACTGCTTTCTCCTTTTCACAAATGAAACTTTGAAAAGAATCTCCTTCCCTCGAACACTTCAATACTGGCCTCCGTAAACACTGATACCAGTAAACACAGTCGTGCTGTCCTGACACCTTCTCCTCTCTACACAATACTGAGCCTCCTGCCAGTCACACGGGTTTCCCAGATCCATTCTGGGGCCTACTCGAATTCTCACTGTGGAATTAGAGAATAGAAAAGCAAAGTGTGGGCTCTCCATACAATGGCATATTATTTGGCCATAAAAAGCTATGAAGTAGTGACACTTGCTACAAGGTGGATGGACCTTGATTACAAGCTAAGTGATACAAAGGCCACATTACATGATTGGGCTCATATGAAATACTCAGACCAGACAAATGCCTTGAGACAGAACACAGATTGGTGGATGCCAGGGGCTGGAAGAAGAATTGAAAAGTGACTCCTAATGGGGTTGGGGTTTCCTTTTGCTGTGATGAAAAAAGTCTGGAAGTAGAGGTAACACAGCATTGTAAATTACTCCGTGGCTCCTCAACGCTATGGACTTAATGCCTTTGAGTTATATACTTTAACATGGTTTAAATGGCAAGTTTTATGTTGCGTGTATTGTACGATAGTAACGGGAGAACTCAAAGTAGCACATCATTGCGTGATATTCCTGCCAAAAGTGCATAATTTCAATCCAATCATGAGAAAACATCAGACAAACCCAAACTGAGAAATATCCAAAGTAATTAAGCAGTATCCATCAAAAATGTCAAGGTCATGACAGAGACCCAGGAGTCCTCACAAATTAGAAAATGGCACTAAAGGGCTATAACAACTAAGTGGAACATGGGACATGTCTCAAACATGGAACAGAAAAGGACCGTAAGGGGAATACTGGTGAGATTTGCATAAGGTCTGCAGTTTAGTTAATGGCATTGTGCCATTGTTAATTTTCTGATTTTGATCTTTGTCCCATGGTTATGTAAGACATTAATTAACATTAGGGAAGGGAGGGGGTGGGGCACAGGGGAGAAATGACCCAAACCTTGTATGCACATATGAATAATAAAATAAAAAAAATTAACATTAGGGGAGGCTGGGTGTTGAGTATAGAGGAACTCCCCAGCATTTTTTGCAACTTTAAATCTAAAATTACTTCAAAACAGAAAGTTAAGGGCTGGACGTGTGGCTCAAGTGGTACAGCACCTGCCTAGCAAGTGTGAGGCCCCAAGTTCAAACCCCAGGACCACAAAGAAAAAGTTAAAAATAAAAAGAACACTTATCAGGCATCAACCATGTGCCAGGCGCTCTCGTGTATCTGAGGTTCCAAAAAGTAGGGTACACAGCGCAAGCTAGTGAACCTACTGGACACTTTCACTTGTGACCTGTCTGGCCCTCGCTTCGCTCCTCTGAGGTGGGTGTTATAGGCCCTCATTGAGAACTGTGGAACCAGGGATTGGAGAGTAACATGCCTGAAGTCCCATAAAGGGCGAGTCACAAGTTCACATCTGAAACCAGACCTCAGACTTCTGAAGCCATGACACTCCAAGTGGCTCTGGCACAGCTTTCTGTAGGTCTCATGGTGGTCCAGCACAGACCCTGTCTCTTTCCTTGACCCAGCTGGTTGGGAGGTCCTTCCTGGAAGATGGGGTCATAACTTCATTTCTCTCTGCTAATGCATTGCTGTCCTCCCTTCTTCCTGGTTTCCTTAGAGAATCAGAAAGTTCTCCTGTCTGTATTTTTCCTCCCCTCCCTAAATCATTTCAGTTCCCCCACTACTTGCAGTAACTTTGGAATTTCTGAGTTAAGTTAATCATGTCATGGGTAGTGACTACACCTATCCCCCTGTCTTGAGTGCACTTCTGGAAGCAGTTGGGCTGCATTTCCTACTATGGAAACTTCTGTTGAAACCTAAGGGCTGCCAGACATGTCCTGACCTCCAGATTAGGGTGTGAGTCATTCAATAAACCCTCAGAGACTGGTGGACATGATCCTAGCACCATGCACGGAGCCCCGAGGCACAATTGTATGCCATCCCTCTCTCCAAGAGGCCAAGAAAAACGCTTGACTTATGAAAATGGGATCAATTAGGCTTGGAAATAGTCGGATGTAAGGGAGAGTTCTCATGATGCCAAAACCCAGAGGAAAATCCCAGAAGAATTTAGGGTCCTTCTCTCCACCCCCAGAAAACACAAAGATGCCTGATCCCCAGAAGGTATGGGACAGGTGTAATAGCCTTCTCCAGCCATCCCATCTAGGTTGTTGCCAAATCTGCAGGGCTTTCCCCATTTGTTATGTATACAGACTCTCACTCCAATGCAGTGTGAATCAGAATGATTCCATACAAACTCTACAAAAGCTTACAGAAGTCTCACCTGCCCCAGCCTCTCATCCTCACTCTCCCTCACTTTGCCTGCTCTGTGAGGACCTAGGTGCCAAGCCATCAGAAGTCACATAGGGTGACAACCATGTCTGGCTTTGAGATAATCAGCCTGCTGTTTGAGCTCTGACCAGCGTGACTGTCAGCATGCTGGATCCTGATGTCTTGGCAATACCCATGCTAGTTTTGGCTGTCAGGTGGACAACAATCTTGGAGAGCTGCCCACTGAATGATGGGATCTGGTGTCCAAAGCAGCAACTATACAGCTTTTGCTTCAACTTATGAGGTTTAGCTTGTAGGACTCTACCACATTTTTACCACCACTCACTTCTTTGATCCAGTCGCTGTCACAAGTCTCGAACAGCTGCCTTCACTTTGATGAGACCAGGCATTCCAGAAAAGCAAAAGAAGACTGATTAGAGATTACCAAAATCCCTTGCAGACTCCCCCATAATCTAGGAGTATTTTGACCTAGCCATGTATACAGATTTTAAACCTTGCGGTGCCCGAGCCTCAGCTAGTAAGTATTCACTGAATGCATGGGAATTAAAGGAGTTAAGGTAGGGTCTTTACTCACATTTCCTGCATGGGGAGCAGGAAATATTTCTCCTTTCCCCACCCTATTTCTCCCTACTTTATCCTGCTATACTAAAACAAATCCTTGCTAAAAAAAATATTTTAAGATATAACGTATAAAAATGCTCACCATCTCTAGCAATAAAGGAAATGCAAATTAAAACCACGCTAAGATTCCACCTCACCCCTGTTAGAATAGCCATCATCAGCAACACCACCAACAACAGTTGTTGGTGAGGATGCAGGGAAAAAAGAACCCTCTTACACTGTTGGTGGGAATGTAGACTAGTACAACCACTCTGGAAAAAAATTTGGAGGCTACTTAAAAAGCTAGACATGGATCTACCATTTGATCCAGCAATACCACTCTTGGGGATATACCCAAAAGACTGTGACACAGGTTACTCCAGAGGCACCTGCACACCCATGTTTATTGCAGCACTATTCACAATAGCCAAGTTATGGAAACAGCCAAGATGTCCCACCACTGACGAATGGATTAAGAAAATGTGGTATCTATACACAATGGAATTCTATGCAGCCATGAAGAAGAACGAAATGTTATCATTCGCTGGTAAATGGATGGAATTGGAGAACATCATTCTGAGTGAGGTTAGCCTGGCCCAAAAGACCAAAAATCGTATGTTCTCCCTCATATGTGGACATTAGATCAAGGGCAAACACAACAAGGGGATTGGAGTTTGAGCACATGATAAAAGCGAGAGCACACAAGGTAGGGGTGAGGATAGGTAAGACACCTAAAAAACTAGCTAGCATTTGTTGCCCTTAACGCAGAGAAACTAAAGCAGATACCGTAAAGCAACTGAGGCCAATAGGAAAAGGGGAACAGGTACTAGAGAAAAGGTGAGATCAAAAAGAATTAACCTAGAAGGTAACACCCACGCACAGGAAATCAATGTGAGTCAATGCCCTGTATAGCTATCCTTATCTCAACCAGCAAAAACCCTTGTTCCTTCCTATTATTGCTTATACTCTCTCTACAACAAAATTAGAAATAAGGGCAAAATAGTTTCTGCTGGGTATTGAGGGGGGGAGCGGGAGGGGGTGGAGTGGGTGGTAAGGGAGGGGGTGGGGGCAGGGGGGAGAAATGAACCAAGCCTTGTATGCACATATGAATAATAAAAGAAAAATGAAAATAAAATAAAATAAAATAAAAATAAAAATAAAAAGATATAACGTATATGTGAAGTAATTTGTTCTTAATTGTTTTTAACAAGCACAGTAAGCAACATTTTATATACTGATGAGTTGACAGCTCTTCTCTACCTCCACTTATACTAGAGTTTTTTGAACCTAAAACTAAACTTTGGAGTGGGCATGGAAGGACAAGCCTTCTGCGGGGGGGATCACATTTTGAAGTAAGGAGGATGGGAGAAACTGAGTAAAGCTCAACTGTTTGTTGTTCTCATCCTGTCCTGTGAGTAATGGCGAGGAACAGAGGAATGGGTGCAAGAAACTGCAAG